GCTCGTGGCCCCCACACCCTGCGGCTTTCCCCGGAGGGTCGCGTCTCCCTCTTCTCCGCCCCTGCCGGCCTTGAGTGGGAGATGTACATTTAATTAAGCAATGACGTAATATGCAAACGAACGGGGACCGCGCGCGCCCCCTGGCGGCCGCAGCGCCGCGTGCGCGGGGCCATGCCGAGTGGCGAGGGCGGCGCACGAGAACCACAGCGCCCGGCTAGCTCAGTCGGTAGAGCATGGGACTCTTAATCCCAGGGTCGTGGGTTCGAGCCCCACGTTGGGCGCATAAAATTTTCCTCTTCCTTCCTTGTTTTTTTCGTTATTTTTCCCCCTTTCTCGCTGCTCGCGGCCCCGGCGGCCGCCACTGCACACCCGGCGCTGTGCTGTGCCCCCGCCCGGCGTGCGGCGGGGGCGGGGATGGCCCGGACTCCATGTCCCGCCATGCCCGGGGCGCGGCTGCGCGGCGGGGCCGGGCCGGGATGCGGCGCGGGCGCTGAGGCCCCGCGGGGAGCGGGCGGAGCAGGGACCGGCCCTTATAAATGGCGCCCAAGCAGGATCCCAAGCCCAAATTCCAGGAGGGTGAGTGCGAGGGGAGCGGGTGGGGTGCCCTGCGAGGGGCCCGGAGGGGTGGCGGCCGCCGGTCGCTGCCCGCTGCGGCGATTTGCACCCAGTGCTCGTGCCTTGAGGGTGATCTCGCTCTAATCCCTCGCTGCTCAGCCCTGAGGATTTGGGAATTCGTGGGAAAGCCGAATTCCCGCAGTCTTTGTCTCTTCCTGTGCCTGCTCTTTCCTCCCAGTGACGCGCGGGCCCTTCCCACCCCTGTTATTCTGAAGGCCCTTCGGTTCCTCGCCTTTTGGAGGGCCCGGACCTTCCTGGGCGTTAAAACTGTTGCGCTCCCCGGGGCTGTCAGGGGGGCGCTTCCTCGCGCGTGGAAGGTTTATTTTCCCCGAGAGGGATCTCAGCGCAGGGGATCCGTGGAGGCAGCGCCGGGGTCGCGGCTGTGCTGGAATCCATGTTTGCCACAAAGCACCGGCGTTTGAGGGGAACGAGCGTGAATCGGGCTCCTTGCCAGGCTTTTTCCGCATATATTTCGATTTTTGGCTTACGATTGCGGTTGGTGGTGATATAAATAAGAGAAATAATATAGGAAGGTGGCTGCCCCATCCCTGGAAGTGTCCAGGGCCAGGTTGGACAGGGCTTGGAGCAGCCTGGGACAGTGGGAGGTGTCCCTGGCCAGGGCAGGGGGTGGGATGGGATGGGGTGGCCTTTGGGATCAGGGATAGGTGTGGCTGTGTCGCTGGGATGGGGTGGCCTTTGGGATCAGGGATAGGTGTGGCTGTGTCGCTGCAGTGTGGGGGATTCACGGGAGAGGCTGCAGTGAGGGAGCGAGAGCCTGCCAGGTTATCACGGAAACAAAGAACGCCAAACGTCTGTGTGATTTTTAAAAATAAGTATTTCGCAGTAGCTGTGGACATCTCACCTAGAAAACACTGAACAACAATGGAAATAGAGAGGTGTTTCCACCAGCACTTGTAAGCACGGTGACACAGGAGGGGAATAATGTCGCCTCTGATTGTCAGCCTTAATTATACTGACATTTGCTTTCTTTAAATAAAAGTACTGACCATGTCATGTATCAAAATGGGCACTTCTGTGAGAACCTTTCTAAATCTTTTGCTTCCTTGATACACAGAAGCATTTTCTAGTTCTGCAGCTCATCTCCCCAAAAAATGTGAGGCACTGCAGCTTCCAGAAGGAAACATCTGGGCTCAGGTATCCTGTGAAGTACATTGAAATTCCCCCAGTGTAACCACACAGTAAGGCCTTGCCACTGAGGAGAAAAAAGACAGGGTGAAGAACAGTCTCATCCTATATAAAACCCTCAAAGTGAACAGTTTTTGTTGCTCTTCCACAGACCCAGCACTGTTCCATCCCACACATCAGATGGGGAAGTGTGGGAGGTGTCTCTTCCTGACTGCACTGCACTGGGAATACCAGGTGCTGTTCTTCCTGCAGGGAAAGGTGCACAGGTGACAGTGGCTTTCATGTGTCAGAAGCTTGAGGTGCAGAGGTGGGATCTCTCAGGAGAGTTAATGTCCTGGTGGAGACCAAAGTGTAGTGTCAGAGGACTGAAGGATCCCTCAGAGCCAGGCAGTTTTCCCTGTGTGCTGTGTGAGCACTTGGACTGCAGTGTGCTGTATGGAGCCAGTGTGCTTTGGGGTCTGCAGCCAGAACTGGAGGCTTTGAGGGAGTCGTGTGTGCCAGCCTTGCAGTGGGGTGTGGGAGTGCCTGATGTGGGGGCAGGGATGTGAGTTTTGGTGGCAGTTCCCTGCCAAAGTCCCAGCTGTTGTGCCCCACTCTGGGCAGGCCTGGCCCTGGTTTGTGTGCAGCTGGCCTGGCTGACACGTGGTATGGAGATGGCACTGGGCTGTTCTAAGATGTTTATCTGGACCTTTCTTCCAGGTGAGCGAGTGCTTTGTTTCCATGGACCTCTCCTTTATGAAGCAAAGGTAAGTGTGGCAGCTTGTTGCTGCAGGTGGTTCTCACTGCCCCCCAGGAAAATAAGGAATTGCTTTAGTTTCCCTGCTGTGCCTCACTAGGTGGGATCAAGGGCTGAAATGAAAATTAATGAAAACCTGATGATGTGTGAAATTTTAAATCCTGGAGCTTTATAATATTGAAAAAAATCAGGAAGCCCAGTGGTGCTGCAGTTATTCTGATAAAATCCCAAAGGCTGGGTGGTTTCACATGTTGGAATATCTGACAGAGCCGTGTTCCCAGAACACTGGGAAGCATTTGCACCTGCAGGACTTGGAGCTGCTGGGTTACAGTCCTAAAGGAAGTGGCACTCCCAGTTCTGCTTCCCAGTTCTGGCTTTTTAACCACATAAACCTGCATTGCAGATCTGTAATGTGGAGGGTAACCTACTGCCTCAGGTTTGCTGGAGGTGCAGCTCTGGATTTGCCTGCTGAAATGGAAAAAAGGGCTGCTGTAGCTCTCTGGGTTAGAGGACTTGCAGAAATTTCTGGGGCACCTCAAACAGGGATTTAAATCCGTTAGGATTTAGTGTCAGTGAATGTTAACTGATGGGGCAGCTTCAGAGGGCTGGTGGCAGGGAAGCACTTGGTCTTCTCCATGCTGTGTCCCTCTCCTTTATCCAGAGTGGGACTTAAGCAGGGTCTGGCTCTGCCAGCCTGGTGCTGGAAGGGATTTCCCAGCAGGCAAGAAGCTTTTGGCTGGCTGTTTGTATAAGAGTGGATCCTTCTGAGTTCCTGTCCTGGCAGAATAAACTTGAATTTTAATTGTAAAATGTTTTCTTTATTTACTTAGAAGCATTTAATATTAAAAGGTGCTTTGTAAGTAGTAATTAATAATAACCTTTGTTTTCTTCCTGTTCCTTTGTTCTGTTTTTCTTCAGTGACTCTCAATTCATGGGTTGTTTTGTTCCTGACCACATCTGGGGTGTCCCACAGCAGGATGGTCAGGGAAGCACTGGTGTGTGTTAGAGGAGTGTGAGCAGTTGTGGCAAAGGGGAACTGTTTGTACATCTCTACAATGCAGAGTTAAATGAGAGTCACTTAAAACACTTCTAACCTCCAGCAAAAAAAATATTTTGGTACAGAAATATACTTGAGTCATCTTTTGCTTTGTGCTCAGCCCTTTTGTTCTTCAAGACAAGTAGAGACGGGCACAGTCTGTGTTTGGCTGGGTTTGACTTCAGGCTGTCAGAATGAGCCCCTGGTGCAGGACTGGCTCCAGCAGGAGCAGCATAACCTTACTCCTGGGTGCAAGTCTAGTGAGCCTGAGTTTAAGTTCCATATGTGGCATTTTGGAGATGGTTACTGGAATATGATGTTCCTCTCTGTTGGCAGGT